GAAAGTCGGAACAAAAATATGTTTGAAACTTCAAATCTGGATAATTTTTCCGGATAATTTAAAACAGCACTGTATGACAAGAATTAATTTAATTTACATAAGTTTTGCCGAATACATTCCAACTTTATTCATGCCTTGAAAGAAATCAAACTTATACTTAACACTTGCTTTGTGAATTTTTCCAATGATGTATGCTCCAGAAATCGAGGAGTTTGACCACGTCTTGGTTTAAAGTAGACTACTGGAATCTGATTTTGATTTAGCCACTCGCAGTTCAGTTTAAATTCGTCTGCCAGTTGTATCATTAAATGCTTTGAACTGATACAAGCAGTCTTGATGAATTTGAAGTGATTTTGATATCATGATACTTGTATGTTCATGAGAGGATTCCGTCTCTTTTTACCCACCCCCCCCCCCTTTTTTACCCCTCCAACTCTCAGTTGAAATCTTCCAAATCTGGTATCCTCCTTTTGTACCCAAATTTGTATAATCCCGCTTCTTTCATTTTTTATAATTGATTTACTACTTATTATTTTATAATTGTTATTACTACATACTTCACCCCACTACCGTTTTTATCCGCCTACTTTTTTACCCCTCAAAGTACTTCCTAATTTTCAAAAAGTGACCGCCGCAGTCGCGTCAAGTTGTAGGAGAACGTAGGACTCTATACGAAACTTAGAGCATTGACCTTAAACCGCTCAAATCTTTGGGGAAAATGGCGGTAAAAACAACTTGGAGTAAAGTGGGGTAGAGTATTTAGGGGGTAACAATTTAGGGGGTAACTATAGAAAGGTTTTTGTATGCTCTACTTCTTTTTACCCCGCTACTTTCATTAGCAAATAAATCTTAGCACCTACAAACTTTACGAGTGTGAATAAACCGGCCGAAGTATAGACAAACCAAAAATGCGCAGATTATATAAACCAGCCGAACAGTTATGTCATATGAAACCAAAGCACATAAGCCAGCCAAAAAGCTGCGTCGTATGAATCAATTTTGCATAACTTTCGTAACTGTTTTATAATTGTTACATAACTATTATATAACAATTACGCATTTTCGACCGGTTTATATGGTAGCTGGTTTATACATCGGCTGGTTTTCATGCCACCAAACTCTACTCCACTAACTTTATACAATTTTACACCAACCTCATTTTTATCCCAACTTGTTTTTACCCACATTTGTCCCAAAACTTTTATCAGGTGAAAGTCACCGGCTTTAATTTTTGGAATAGAGTCTTATTCTCTGTTGGCAACCTCGCAAGACGCTAGTGCGACTAGGGTAGTCACTAGTCGATTGATAAAGAAATGGAGGTTTTTTGAGGAGTAAAAAAATTGGACAGATAGAAATTTCGTGAAGTAAAGTATCCAGGGGTAAAAAAAGTATGGTATAAAAAGTGGTTGAACATAAAAGTTAGGTTGAAAGAGAAACCACCCCTCTAACTAACACGCATTTGCAGCTTTAAATAAATTGTCCTAGTTTTTAGAGAAAACGCGGATTTTTCTCATTTGGTTGGTTTTTTCTTCAGACAAGTTTTGACTTCTAACTAAAAATTTTTGAAAGATCTTTTGATTTTTTAAGAAAATTGGTACTTTGAGTAACAAGTTAGCTGGCGATTTTTGAAAGGTGTTTTACTTTACAAAATGATACTTTGGACCTTGAGCTACAAGTTAGGTAAATATATGTTTATATTTATATATGTATAGCTCAAGGTGCTTATGTAGCTCAACGTAGCTCAAGGTAACAATTTTAGAAGATTTTTCAAAACAAGTAGAAGATTTTTCAAAAAATGTTAGTTAAAGTTGTAACACACGGTATCAAAACTTTTTTATGAGTAAAAAAATTCAAAAAATGTTAGCTTAAAGCCAAAATTAGTCTTAAGAAAAAAATATATATTTTGTATACTAAATTTTTAATAATGGTGGTTTCACAGTTACTAATTAGGCTAACTTCCGCGCAATTTCTTGCGTTGTTTAATACAGCGAAGAGTAAATGCAGCTCAGAAATTATTTCAAACTGTTTTGAAGGAAGCTATTTAAGCATAAAACACCCTACTAGACACAAACAAAACCGCGTGTAGATCAGGGCGAAAACCTGAATATTTCAACTGCCCTATACGGTCAATTTAAAAAATTAGTCGAAAAATGATAAATTAATTGAAAAAACGGAATACAATTTTTTTCTTCAGTTTATCTTCATTTTATCACACCACACGCTATTAAAAGTACAAGGGGATATGTTTTTCGTCTTGTATTTGAATAATGAACCAAACAAAACGAACCAGACCCTGAATCTTCCGACTGCTTTTTAAGGTCTATCAAGCAGTACAAATTTAATGCAATGAAAAACAATGATTTTTTTTTAAATTTGAGTTTTCTCAGAAAATCATCCACCATATAAAGTACAAAGCGATAGAATTCGCTCCTACTAACAAATCAATTAAGGCAAATAAGCTTCCTTCAACTAATTTGGATCTATTTCTAAGACGGATTAAATCTCAGCTTACGCGTTAATAGTGCGAAATATATCGCACGTTAATTGTCCCAAATTGGCCAAAATGACAATCTTTAAAATCCCGTTAACTTAACGAAAAACGATCAGGTGAAATATAGTTTTAAATAATTAAGTTTAAGCACAGGACAACAATAATTTTTGAATAATATTAAAAAAATTCCGTGAAAAATGGCTAGTTAAAAAGTCGAAATTTGTCTGAAGAGAAAAACCACCACGAGCACAATTACTCCGTTACTTTCCTTACGAAAGTCGGAACAATGCCTTGCCTCAATTCAGTTTTGAGCCAATTAAACCTCGTATGGTTCTGTTTCTGTAACGGATAAATCATTTCGATAATCTTAAAAACATGTCAGGAAAGATCCAAAACTGGTGTTTGTATTTGTTACAGTTGTGCGCAGTGCGTGATCAGAAGTCGTACGAAGTGCTGCGGTTGAACCGTGAATTGGAGCGAGTCAAGAGTGAAAATGAAGAACGACAGAGGGAATGCTCACTTCAGATAGATCAACTCAATTCTCTCCATTCTAGCGAGGTTAGATGATGATCTGACTTTGAATGGTATGAAAAACATGATGAAAAATGGTTTTGTTTGCGTCGGAATTCCCCAGTTTCTTTTGGTAGAGAAGAAGAGAGGTGGTTTGTATATCGTTCAAGACATAGCTGCATTTCGTTAAATATTTGAATCTAGATCTACATGAACAGGCGAAGTTTGAGTTGTCAAAATTCATTACCTTTGCACTGAACCAAAAAAAATCTCGTATCATGAGCGGTCTCCACGATTGAAGATGGCTGGACTCGAGTCACCCCAACTCCATTCGCAAAACAATTTGCAAATCAATTGTTGCGAGCCTCACGCTTTTCAGATCCCTCATAAGCATCAGTGTTTTTTCCTCAGGTGGGTGAGTTGGAAAAGAGAGTGGCACTTCTGGATCAAGAGAAGAGAGCTCTTGAGAGACAGCAGGAGAAACTAGTGGACAAGTTCAAACAGGACACCAGTCGGTCAGCTGACAAGTTCACTGTCAAGTACAGTGTGCAGAAGTCGATCGAAGATAGAGACAAGACCATTGACCAACTCAGGCAACAACTCAGACAGGCAAGCGCTCACATCACAGTTCAACTCGTAACCATTTCATGATTCTAAGGTAGGTCCAGGGGCGGATTTAGAGGGGGGCGGGGGGGGGGGGTACGCTCCCCTTAGGGATTTGAACCCCTGCCAACCTTTAGTACTTTTTAAGAAATCCATTTTTGGCCGACCGACCCTAAAATTTTTCTAAAGGCACCTTTGGCGCCAATATATACTAATTCTGAGGGGGAGCACGCGCCAAAAAAACGCGTTTTTTTTTTGTCAAAATTTTCCAAAAAGTGCCCAAAAACGGCTTTTTTGACCTGTTTTTTCAAAAAATTGCCTGCGGCGCAAACAATTTGGCCAAAACAGGGTGTTTTTACTGCTTGGGGAGAGCTCGGAAAGTCAATCTGATCGATCTAAAAAAATAAAAAAGGTCGTCAAAATTTTTGAAAATTTTTTGAAAACCCGCCCCCCTCTCGAGAAAATCCTAGATTCGCCCCTGGGTAGGTCGTCTTCGAAAATTCGACAAATTGAGTATTAGTGCTGTGTACATATTAAGCACATCAATCCATGTTTTTATCTGTTTTTTTGTGGGATAAATTTTTTCATCAAATCCAAGATTGGGCTAAAAAAAATTGCTATTCAACCCACCAAATTCTTGGCTAGGAGAAAGAAATTTTATCATTTCACAATGGCGCTTCCTTGAAACCCAGTCTAGAGAAACTCATCTTTATACAGGGCGGATCTAATATTTTCTCAAGAGGGAGGGTGGATCTAGAAAGTGTTTTTTTCTAAGTCGGCCAAACTGATTTCACGAGCGCTCCAAGAACACATTAAAGACCCTTTTTCGATAAAACTCTTTGATCTGCAAGCGTTTTTTTTAAATCTCAAAATGCCGTTTTTGAGCACTCTTCAAAAAGTTAAGACCAAAAAATTGCGTTGTTTTGGCGTGTGCTCCCCTAAAATTTGGGAACTTGAGCGTTTATAAAAGTTTTAGGGCTAGTCGGCCAAAATGGATGTCATAAATTGTGCAAAAAAGGATCATTTGGGCGGTGAGGGGGTCGAATACCCGACAAAAAAAGAAAGTGTCCCCCCACCCCCTAAATGCCCTAAATTCGCCCCTGTGTTAATATCAAAATTCAAGCTACAACCTGGGTTGTAGCTTGAAGCAGTTTATGCAAGTGATGTGTGGCTTGGCCCCGACAGCGTATACCAAACATACGATTTTCAAAGTGGGTCCTCTAACCTCTTCTCAACAAACTCACTTTTTGATCTATTAATTAGTTGCAAAAAAGCTCGAATATACCAAGTTAATTTTAAAAGCGTATCGACTTATTTCGGTCCTCTCAAAAGTTAGTTTTGCAGACCAACGCATGTTTCAAGGTCATCTGCAGCTTCAATAAAGCCGCCAATTTTTCTCAAGATTGACATATTGCTCCTTTTGACTGATCCTAGCATTTGCTCAAAGTTCTATTTCAAAACTCTATGAGAACATTTCTGATTCTAAATTCTTTCAACTCACTGAAAAAGTACATTTTCAATTTTGTTGCATTTGTAGGAGCGGGAGGAGAGTGGTCGCCAGGCGGGGGAGTTGCGGGACCAACTGAGACAGGAGAGGGATGTGCATGGGGAGGAGGTGTGCCAGCTGCAGACTGAGTTGGAGAGAGCGAGGAGGGAGAAGGACTGCATTGGGGACAGTCTGAAAAGAGACCTCGGCAGGGCCAAACAGGAGCGAAGGGGCCTGGAGACGGGACTCAAAGGTATGGACAGACACGGCAGACATACATGCAGCAATAAGTCTGATAGCTCTGCTAACATGGTCTCCCAATACTTTTGAAACATGTCATTTTTTGATGATGATGATTGCCTTTTCCACTCATTCAACTCAAGAGTGGTATAAGGCTCACAAAGACTGATGGAAAAACACAGTGTTCAGGGTCCATTGATGTCATACTAATCAGATTCAGTCATTGCCTATATTTGAAGAAGTATTGTCGTACGGATTAAGCATAAATGGGAACGAAACTTCTCTGAAATTCGACGCTATTGGAAAACAAAGGGCCACTCTTTGGTACCTTTTTACAATACCCAACTTCACCTGCCTCGCTCTAAAATTCATCTAGGATCGATATCAAGCTAGTTTTTTGTAGTTCAAATATTTACGATTAGAATAAAATATATTCACAGAAACATCGAACATTCACCCGGGCTGACCTCCAAACACAAAAAATGCCTTTTATATATATTCCAAAGACTGAAAATGCTTGTCGTAAATTTCTGAAAGTTTTATAAGAAGCATTTTACATATCTAAAAAAATTCTCCGAAAAGTTTCAAATTTCAGCGAAAGTTTTATGCGTCTTTTTAGTCGCAAAATCAGTTTTATGCTCGAACAAAAATTTTCCAAAAAAATTGTACGAAAAAAATTGTGCATATGAGTCTATAACGTAGACCAGGCCGACCGTTTTAATGCAAATCAATCAACAAAGACTATGAAAAATGTGTACAGGAATATTCGAATAGATTCATTGATTTTTTATTTCTCTAAATGTCTGGAAGGTGAGGAGATGATACAAATGGACTATCCTCTACAGGACTGTTAAAGCTCCTGCTGATAGCTCCTTTGCGATTCGCAGGAATCAAATTATTATTAAATGGTATAACATAAGCTCTTAAACCATATACGAAAAATTACGGTTTTTAGTTATAATTCTCAGTGAAATTTTATTAGTCATCTTCGAAAGCAAATTTCCAAAAACAGCTAATCAATTACTTTATTGCCACTCAACCAGTGATTTTTCCTATTTGAGAAAACTTTGTAAATATTAAACACACAAATAAAACTGAAGACAAAAAAAAATATTTTGAATCATCGAAAAAAAATTGTCATACCAAGTTCATGTTCATGAAAATGTTATCATACAGTCCTCTAATATTTCTCTGCCCTCATAGAATAATATGGATTCGTACGTTTTTTTTATGTGTAGAAATTTGACAGGATATGAAAAAATGAAAGGATACTTTTCACTTTTTGAAGTAATCATTTCGCGTGCCATTTTATTGACGTTGAAGTTTATGGAAAAAACAAAATATCGTTGAATGCGTTTTTGTTCTGTAATTTATGCACTCAAGCACTTCTTGATATAACAAGCAGATATCATCCTCGAATATGAAATTTGTTTTAAAGTTTTTCTTTTGAACTAAATCATTTGGTTATCAAAAAGTCAGGCAGTAATAATTTTGGTTCATTTTGAAGAGTTTAAAAAAACTTGGAAAGTGTTCAGTTTTTGAAATCTTAACAATTTAAAGTACCGTCGGATTGCTGCTGTAAATCCGTTTGCTTCAAAACAAACTATAACACAAGGCTGAAAATAAGGTAAACGACGATGAAATTATTTTCAAAAACAGGTTGAATTAAGTCTTAAAAAAGCTTGTTACAGAGAACTAAGCGGTCAATCACTCACTACTCGCTAGAGAGGCGTTCTCATTATTGAAATAACCTCCCAAACAGTACAAATAGTTTTAGTATATGATTTGACTGTTTTGTCAGCTTATGATTTTGTCTTACACCTTATTTAGCGCAAAAAAATTATTAAAAAAAGTAAATGCATTAGTGAAAAAGATAAGGTAAAAATTATGCCCGACTTACTTTCAAAACAACTTAGGCAGCCTTTTGAATCAGCCGGACTAGTTCTTTTTTCGAAGCTGTTTGCACTACAGTTTTCTTCAAAGTAATTTTCTGATTGAGCGATAATTTCATTTGCACGATGCATGTAGAAATTAATTTAATTTAAATTTCGACTTGAAATGCACAAACGTTATGGATGGCACCTATTGAAAAAACAAATCATAATCAATCACTTAATATCAATCAATTGCTTTAAAGTAAATTTACAAGGTAATATTTCCTTAAATTCATTGCACTCATAACATAATATATGTGTAGTGTTTCGACGAAAGTTGAAAAAAATATATTGTATACTTATTGATCCGAAAAAAAAACAAAAAAATGAAGTTTTGATCAAATTTCAGAACTTTTTTTTACAAATTGGATTGCTCTGGATTTTGCTCGATTATATGACAATCAAAACTAGTTGCTTAACACAGCTAATAACAAACTGCTATGAGGAAACTATTATCAAAAAACATTTGGAAAAATTGGAACCTGGAATCAGTTTAAAACAAGTAATTTTATCCAATCATACTCCTTGATAATAATCACTGTAAAATATTTGGAACTAACCAATCATAATCCATTACTAAAACTTATGATAATTTGTAAAGCTGAAACTATTTATAGTTTCAACCAGAGAAGAAACAGTTTAACTTAGAAAGCAGGCAGTTGCTCTTCCTCTCCTCTAACCTAGCAAGATTACCAGTATATACTATTGAGACTAGGAAGTATAAGAGTAAGATTAGAATCGATATTAGACGAATCAGAAATTTCAAACTTAAAGCTGTTTAAATTTTTTAATACACAAGTGCACCTTTTCTGATGCTCTCTAATTAATGACCAAAAGACACGTTGAAAACGACTTCATATGCTTTTTTGGCTATTTTTTAATGAAAATTTTCATCCATCATCTGTAAAAGTTTCAACTTTGTATCCCTGGTAGTTATAGAGCAAACGATAAAAAGTAGAAAAAAATTTTCGATTGTTTCATCGCTTGAAAATTTGAATTTACAATTTCATGTCCCTTGGTTGTAAAATATAAAAATGTTGTGATAAAAATATAAAACATAAAAAATGCTCGTAAAAGCTGATTCTTTTCAAAATACTAGGTTTGAGAATTTCGTGATTGTTTTCAGAATTGTAATTCTAAAATGCAGTCAGGTAGTAGACGTAATTTTTTTCTATTTCCAGCAGAAGCGGATCTAGGATTTTCTCTAGAGGGAGAGGGGCAGTTATTATTTTTTAAACACATCAAAAATGCCGTTTTTGGGCATTTTTTGGAAATGTTGACCAAAAATAGCGTTTTTCGGCGCGCACTCCCCCTTTTCCAACTAGTATATATTGGTACCGAAGGCTCCCTTAGAAATTTTTTCTGGTGATCTGCCTAAAATGGATGGCACAAAAAAAATAACAAAGAGGGGGACCCTTTGGTTGGCGAGCGGATCGAATCCCTGAGAAAAGAGGCGTCCGCCCCCACCCCCTTCCCTAAACCCGCCCCTGATTTCTAGTATCAAGCGTTTTAAACAGATCCTCACACCCTATAGTCATATCATTTTGTTGTAAAACTTAGTTTTTCAATTATACAAAACTCTGTCATAGATTATGGAATGCTTTATATTTGGTAGCTGATTCCAATGAACATTTAAGCATGTCCGCTTACAGGTCTACTTTTTGGAATATGTCAACATATATTGAACTTCTTTGACATGTGTCAATTGAAATGCCAAATGAATAATTGATTGATATAGAGTGAGAACTTGCTTCAATCATCTGCTTAACATGGCCCAAAAGGGGTTCTAAGTTCCTTTATAGGCTATAAATAACCTCAAAAGATATATTTACTTTCAAAAACTCCAAGCAAAACCTAAAAATGACTACTTTTTTCCGTCGAAATATCAATAAGCTTTAAATATAGGAAGTTGTTCCAACCACAAAGAAAAAGAAAAATAGCAATTGATACAAACTATAGTTTATCTTTCACTCCAATGCTGTGACGTTCTTCATCTGGCTGTGACGGACTGTTTTTCTAACCTTTTTGTGACAATTTCATTAAAAAAATTCGTTGCCTCTATTTGCGATACTTCACTCAATGGCACTACAAAAGAAGAGGCTCAAAAAGGAAGCGAGTTCTATCGACATTTTCATATGATTGTTTCCCTTTGTATCCGGACTGACATTTTGGAGATTTAATTAGTGTGAAAATCATTACGCGAAATAATGACAGAGGCTGAACAAAAAATAATTTAATCTTTTCATCAGATTTTAAAAATTCATTTCTGATGATTTGGTTTGAATGGTGTTATTTTTTGTCCTAAAATAAAAAAATTAGCTTCTTTTCTGTAAAACTGCATTTTTTTTCCTGAAGAGCGCGTTTCTAGGTGACTGAGTTTTCTCTTGTTCGTGATCAAATTAAATGTTCACTTCCTATTATTTTGACAATTGTATCCAAGATTTCGAATGATTTAATGCAAATTTAATTCATTCAGTTGTAATAGATAATAATATCAAGTTTAGTTTTTTTATCACCAATGCAGTAGCGTGCCGAGGGGGGAGGGGGGGCGACCGCATCCTCCTTTCAATTCTGGTTGCCAAATTTATCCAAAACGTCCCCACTTTGGTATAATTTTACGAAACCCATTTTTGGCTGACCAACCTCAAAATTTTCTAAAGACGCCTTGGGCGCCAATATAACTAGTTTTGGGAGGTTAGCGCACCGAAAAAACGCACTTTCTTATCAAAAGGTTTCAAAACGTACCTAAAAGTTTTTGCCTGCGGCACGAAAATTTTTGAAAGATATGGTCCGTACAAAATTTTCGGAGAGCTCAAAAAATCAAGTTGGTGGAACTGAAAAAACAGGCTGTAAAAATTCTCCACTTTTTTTGAAACCCCCCCTAGAAAAATTTCTGTGCACGCCAATGCATCAATGCGTATCAATTTTTTGTCTAACTTATCTCAATTTGTAGATTTTTATAAATTTGATTGAAAATGGAAATTGAAAATCTATAAAAACTCTATAAAATAGTTTTATCCGCTTAGTTACTCTTTCATAATCTCAAATATCATACTCAAAGTTCGCCATTTTTTTTTAA